TATGTATATGTGTGTGTGTATATATATGTGTGAATTTCCCATTTAAAATTAGACATACTTAGCTATTGAACTATAATTGACAAGTAAAACTCATTCTCTTCTCCTCACTCTTCGGTACCTTCTACGACCATACTAATTCAGTATTCATTTTTTTTTTTATGTTTATCTTTCCAAAAATATACCACAGAACTATTTTACTGTTCCTATTTCTGAAAATATGTCACCTAATTTTTCATTAAGCAATTTATCATTTTTTTACATAGCGCTACTGTTTAGTGCAAAAGGTCGTATGTAAAAATTGTATTTTTTTTTCAGAAGAGCGTACAAATTGATTATTATTTATGATTTAGTAGTATGATTTCATACTTTATTTTCCTTTGTTATTATCCCTAGTAGCCGTCTACTTGTTAAAGTTGAAGACTAAAAATGTCATCTTTATCAAAAATATAATAAATGTAAAATAGTTACATAAGACCTTTTGAACTAACAGTAGCGATAGTTCATATATATCCATTCTGCATTACTGCTAACAATTAAAGATCATCAGTTATTTCTAAAAAAAAAAAAAAAAAATTGAAAGTATTTCATTATTTAAACAATTCTTTCAATAGAACTTAATAAATATCATGAATTTTCCTTTAATTACAAATACAAACTTATGAAAATCATCATAAATCATGATAATTATATTTACTATGTATTTTTCGGTTTGTAAAACTGAAAAAAAAAAAAAATATATATATATATATATATATATATATATATATCATTTATTTTTGTAAATATTAAATTTGGTACCTATGGAAACGTTTATTTCCCATTCAATGATATAAAAGTGGAGGACATACATTGTTTTGCCAATTCAAATTAATTAGATTCTTGTCATTCTCCGTTATTTTCTGCCTCTTCAAGTGTTGGATCTATGTTACTTATACGTCTATATTACTTAATTCCGGAAATTTTAGTAATTACCATAACGATTTCAATCAAAATTATCATAATCATATTCGAAAAAAATATAGAAATGCGTAAAATTTATGATATGAAACATTTCTGGTAGGTCGCTTTAAGAAAAAAAAATCCTTAAATATCCCAGGCACCGATCTTAGATATATGATTTGGATTTCGTAGAAATCTTTGTATTTACTAAGCAGTCGCCATTGGGACCTTAAAATATGTATTTTCCTTCAAAATTGAGATTAAAAATTTTTCATAATTGTAATAATTTACCTAACTTTGACATTCTATAAATAGGCATAACAATTCCATGAAAGGATTAAAATTTCTGTTTCTTTATTTGTATTGTAAGAAGTAAATGCTCTAAACACTTTGCTGAAACTTCGAAATGATCAAAATACCATATATTATTATTTATAGTTTAAAGATTAAAAGCACCAATTCCATTGTTTAAAGTTCTGTAAGGATGTTATGAAAAGATTAAAAATATTTTACATCATTGCTTATACTTTAGGGATTGAAAGTTTAATGCCAATTGTTTACTTCACAATAAAATATTAAAAATACATAAGGAATGAAACCTCAAAGTCTTCACATAAGACCTAGACAAAATAGAACTTGTTAGCACCTGTTAAATACGCAAGTAGATAATCGAATTTATTATAAATATCCATATATTGTTAATTATTCGATACATTCCGCTGTATCTAATATAGGTTAATTAGACTTTTAATTGAATTCCAGGAAACAACGCAAATATTATAAAAGTAAATCAATGATATTCTAATTACTTAATGAGATATTAAAATGTGAAATGCATTTCTGTTTTCCAATAATGGGATTACATAATTAATTAATTAATTCTCTCTGAATCAATAACATATTTTTATGAATACGGAGTGATCTGAATTTGGATTTAGAAATACAAGTACACAAAATAATCTGTTTAGTGTTTTTAAATCTCATTAAAAATATTAAATTTCTTTCTCAAAATAACTTTTAAACTATAATTGTAATCCTTTTTACTGTGGTTATTTTTAGTAATTTTTGTATCCACGCCTTTTTTTTTTTTTGTCCTCTTTCTCGCCTTTAAGGCTATACCGGGTTTTCCAGTGTCATAGGGTGAAGGCGTCAATCAATTGAGTTAAAAAGACTGTCGGCACCGGGACGCGAACTCGTGACTATTTTGATCAATATATCTTATACAGGGTGTTTTAGGATTAAGTTGCCAAACTGCAAAAATGAACTAAGGACCTCAAAACAATAAAAAAAAATTCCACTGAAGGTATGTCCGCAAACGCTTTGTTTATGAGATATTCACACTACTGTTGCCCAAATGCGAGACCTAGACGAGTGTTGGTCTTGCAAACTCAGGATTGATCATGGTCTTGGTCTTGCGAAAGAGCCTTGAAGTTACTTATTAACTCATTACTCTAGAGATATTACTGTAATTTTTTAGATAGGAGAAACCGATCTAAGCCCGAATGAACAATCAGAGAAGTTAAATGCAAAAGTATATTGGTAATACCTATTATTAACATATAGTAACTTAGATTGTCAAGTATTAGTAGCTAACTGCCTTAATTTAAAAAAAAAAAGCGATTTGTTAAATGTTTATCGATTTTAAAAATCCATTGAATAATGTTTATCATTCTTGGTCTTGGTCTTGCAACAGTTAGGCGGCCTTGGTCTTGGTCTTGCAAAGTGATTTCCTTGAGCATTAAGACAGGCCCAGCATCTTTGTTCAACAGCATCAATGGCAGAACGGTACTGGATATATGTTATTGTTTCAAAAGATTCAATTATCCTTCTTCGTAAGGAATTAAAGTCACTGACCGGAATTGTTCAATCATATCCCATACCCCAATTAATGGATAGGCCGTACAGAACCAGTGGCTTGGCCTGCACGCTCTCCAGATCTTACACCACTAGATTTTTTTCTTTGGGGTGACATCAAACAAAAATTCTATGCAAGTCCAATCAATGACCTTAATTCCTTACGAAGAATTATAATTGGATCTTGTGACAACAATAACGATAACGCATATCCAGTGCCGTTCTGCCACTGCTGCGGTTGAAGAAAGGTGACGAGCCTGTCTTAATGATCAAGCAAATAACTTTGAACAACATTTAACATGAATGTTAATGTTTAAATTTAATTAATAAAGTAGTTAGAACAAATAAATAGGTTTTATTTATTTCATATAACGTCAATAATTCATAGTTCATGTTATGTATACGTTTTTTTTAGTAAGTTCATAAAATTTCTCGCGAGATTTCCTTTTTATTAAGAAGGAATGTTGAAGGAATGCGAGAGCTGCAATGTCCAAAGTACAGTAAAGCACATTATTCAAGACTGCCCTTCATTTGAACCTACAAGGAAGAAGTTAGACATGGCACAGAGTCTAAAACAAAATCTACAAGACAGTGAAAGTGCAGTCAAAAAGACTTTAGGGTTTTTAAAAGAGATGAAACTCTACAACAGACGTTTTAGAGGCGTTGCCAATGACCCTACAGGGTAGAGACAATAAAACATCAAATAAATAAAATTATAAAATTAGTCTTTTCATTTATTTTAAGCAAAAGTAAAAAAAAAAAAAATATGGAATTACGTCCTCCGGGAGTGACGTACTAGCAGGTCCTAGTACGTGAAAGAGTTGGCGTCCGTTATAAGCCGCGTAATTAAAAATGTAATTCCACAATTTTTTTTAAATTATTTAAGTAACGAGAATTTAGAAAATAATAGAATTAAATTAAATGAGTATATGTGGGTGTGTGTATTTAGTGATAAATAAACATAGCAACCGTAAAATATAAATAATTATTGGGGCCTTCATTAGCACTACCTAGCCTTACTGCTGACCTTAATGATAAAAAGGTTTCACAACTATACGTTAGATATTTTTTTTTTAATTTGTGAACCCGGGTCTTCTTTCTATCAAACATGAGACAAAGTAAGTATCTGTGTTAGTCTGTCGAATAGGAAGATTGTTAGTGCAAAATGTAAGTGATGCGTCGAAGCGAGAAGGTGGAATGTTCTGTTTTGATGACAATTGTTTGATTATATATTTCTTAAACCAGTCTTGTAATTGTTCCGAATTATGTTAAAGGCTCAGTAATGCGTTAGTTACATAAGCTTGTATGGTCATTTGCATGGTTTGCTACTAATTTATTAGGGTTAGTTGATATTCCATAAAGGTATACAATGCACAACAATGGTATTAGAATTGATCCTTGTGGTACTCCGACACTTATCGATCGTACAGAACCTTTCCGTCTGAGTAAAATCTGTTGAAAGGAAATAGAGCCGGATAAGGTAGTTAGTAGAAAAGAAAAGTGATCCTTTTCCTAATATAATATTCCTAATCCCAATAATTATAGTGAGATACGAACTTATTCACACCATATATACAGAAAACATAAAATTAACAAAAGTAAAATAATAACTAAACAATAATCAAACAGCTATGTACAATAAAAAAAAATAAAACAATCTGAAGATAAGTAAATTAAAAACTTAGTTTAACTATATACAATATATACAATCAGGTAAGAAACCCCAAGCCAGGCTTGTCCCACAACTATAGAGTGAAAAGCATTACTTCAAGAGATCCCTGCGCTACTCTCTCAACCGCGTCTCTGGTGCTATAGCCAGTGGAGATTGAGAGAGAGCGCTTTTGCCACCATATAATTTACAACTTTTATAATAATTAAGAAAAATATTTCATAAATTGAAACATGTGTTATGTTTAATGCATGGAGTATGTATAAACTAACAATCAAACAAATCCTATAACTCGTTATTCAAGTTTTCTATATTCTGCCTCTAAATACTAGATCTCAAACTATTGAACTATATTCTCCTTCACAGGAAACCGCTTCCTTCAGCTATAATCCAGTTCTCTTCTTCAAAATGAACCCTTCCCGCCCATTGATATAAGCATTATTTATTTAATTTAAGGACAGCTAATAATAACTAGTGACATTATCTTAAATAGTAATCGGATATAATTGACGCCATATTTTTTTCTATTATGTTCTAGATTTTCGGGCTCATCATGGCCCTGATGATGGGCCTATCAGCTGTGACGGCCGTCGCTGACCCTGAGCCAGGACCAGAGCCAGAACCTCAGTACCGAAGAGGAGGCGGTCGCGGCTACGGCAGAGGAAGAGGTCGTTACGGCTAAGCATACAACCTGCTCATACTGGAATAAATATACTTGGTACTGACTGGGACACGGCATGGCTTAAAAAACAATTAAAAATTAATTAGTGTTAATTAAAGCAATCAAAAACCATTCTATTCTTATTTCACTATACTCTTCCTCATTCCCATTCCTATTTTTTCTAGTTGTTCGAAGCCGGTTAAATCAGAATAATAGCTGAATAAAATCAAAAGATATGCATTCAACTCGTATTTCTTTTATCTGAGCCAGAACTATCCACAAAATGAGTATAACAACAATATTAATAACTTTTTATCAAATCCAACGATTGAGCTATCATTTTGAAATTTATGTTCTTCTGGTGAGAAAAATTAGCACATTAACCAGACAAGTTAGTTATGAAGAGAAGGAAACATTATTTGCGTCCAATTCAAAAAGTAGAAATAATGGTTAAGAAGTCTCTTAAATACTTCAAAAACAAAATCGTCGAAACATGTATTGGACATCACAGAATAAAAAGAATTATGAATAGATTTGTAAGATTTGTGGAAGGGACGTCCCCGAGACGTTCCCGTGTTTCTCACTACTATGCCCAGTTAGGGTGGCTCTTCCCCTCCAGAAGACAATACTTCCTTGGCACATTCCATCAAATAATCAACAACCATCGCCCGTAATATGTATACGATCTCCGACAATTTAAATCATCTGTCCACTCCCTCTCCACAAGATCTCGGCCTTCTAACCTTTACACCCTTTTCCATAGATCATAAGCATTCCTTTATTGTCCGTTCCTCCACCTTTTGGAATTCCATACCATTTAAAATCCGCCATGCACCATCCTTATCCACATTCAAAACCCTCTTATTCCAAGTCCTCTTCACAACCCAATCAGACGCTTGTTAAATATGTATCATGCAACAAGAACAATTTTATTTTTAATTTGTTTTCATACACCACTACTTTATTTGATTTTTTTAATTATTATTTGTGAACTGGAAAGATTTAGTATCACTTTTGGCATAGCACTGTGAGGTGATGCATAAAAAGTAAGAGATTGTTGTTTTTATCCATTTTTTTTTCTATCTACAAGATTGTGACGTATTTCATTTTTTACATTCCTCAATTTGTATACATATATATCTTTCTATTGCTTTTCTATACATGTAATTCTTTTTTCTTTTCTTTTTGTTATTCTTTCGAGTAAAGTTATAAATATAGTTGAAAAGATTTTATTTTATTTTTTAGTAATTTACATACTATTATTTAAGTTTTTGCATATATTGTTTGAATTTTTATTGAGTTAGTTTTTGGCCAGATGTGTATTTTTTTTTCTGTTGTAACTGTACATTATTGTTATTCTAAGGGGACATCGTCCCAGAATAAAGTTTATTTTCTATTTCTTTTTATAAAACTAAAACCCCGAATTGGCTTCAATGGATAAGTATCACCTTCCTGAGAATAGGAGGAACTATTTCTGGTCAGTTCAAGCATATGAATTTCTTAACTTTTAGTAAAAATTCTGATAAATATAGGTTATTGTATTGTATTATTATTATATAGGGAAATAACCTGTTTCACAGCATTGGATGGTTATTCCACATTACCCGGACTTAAGTCAAGGGTAGGCTAAACAAATTAATCTGTTTCATTCATAAATTTCCGACCAATACTAGCTCATCCGCATAACACCACTGGAGCATTTGGCAAACAATTCATGGCAACAGCTCCAAACAATTCATCGAAAGGCCTAATTCCTTCATGGAGCCCACTGTTATGTCCAAAATCATTTGCAGAGATAATCAGAGGCAAAATCCTCACTTTATCAAGTATAATATTAGTATTGTATCTGTATTAGTATTTTTATACGAAATATTGTCCTATACAAATACTAAGAAATGTTCATTTTTTCGTAAATATGAACCATTTCTAAAAAAAAACGAAAAATAAATATTTACTTACCAGATGGGAATTCTACAAAATAATCCTGTTCCCTCACTCCAACATATTCGGCCATCATGACCTCGTTACCGGTAAATGAAGCATTAACTTTTTTTTTTCTTTCCCTCGATCCAAATTTTCCACTCCCATAATACGTTTTAGTCATCAAGAAATACATTTCATTCCGTGTCAAATTTGTATGATGGACATAACAACTACTACCGTTAATACAATTTCGATGAAATTTTCAGTGACAGTGCGGTCGGTACCAATTATCTCTAACTCCATTCACCATTTTCCCAAAGTCATGCGCAAAGGTACAGACACGCCTATATTTCGATTTGGCTCTAAAGTTAAAGGGTACTTAAAATACTTCTTTTATTTAAGTTTACAAAAACACTGGTTAATTTTCATCGATACGCCTACCTGTCAGAAAAAAATAGCTTGCCAAATCAGGAAGAAAATTGGAGAATATTAGATAAATAGACTCGTACTAATATCATCTAATAATTGTAATTGATAAGAATATAACTGCTCTACAGTGTGGTTATTACGTAAGGGAAAAATGGTGAGGACGATTGCTGAGAAGATGCAAGCCATCCTCTCAAAGGCCACAACTGAAAGAGCACATCCCATCAACATGGATATAGAGGATCAAGGCGGGTGGGGTGGCCGAATGGGCTAAAGTGTGTGCACAGAACCACGAGTTTCTTGGCAACTAGATAGCGAAGTTTTGAGACTGAAAATAAAGTACGAGTTCGCGTTCCGATGCCAGAGGGGATTTTCAATTCCCCGCGTTCACCCTCCCGCCGGGGAAAATCCCGTATAGCCTAAAAGGCGAGGTAAGGAAGAACAGGGAAAAAATATATAAATATATATGTATATTTATGTAAATATATATATATATATATATATATATATATATATATATATATATATATATATATATATATATATATATATATATATATATCCTTAATGCCCCACTAGTGGTATTCAAAATACTGCCGAACAACAACCATGGAGACCGGAGAAGAGGGTACAGGATCAGTGGAAGATGAAGTCACTGTAGGCAACCAAAGATTTAAGAAAAAAGCCCTGGAAAATTGTGTGATGGTTTTTTACTATTATTTGTATTGAAAAATCGCAGGTGCTAAACATCCTATTACTACAAACTCCCGCATAGCCTAAAATAAAGGGAAAGTGAGGCATAAATACAATAGATCAAAATGTGACTTAGCTGTGAATATATGTCAGGAGATAGATTTTATACACTTTTAAACTTACTGTAATTTACTAAAATTTTTTTATTAAAATATTTATATCTGTTAAAATGAGAAATGCGTATTCTGAAACATGTATAACTAAATAAATAATAAAATAAATAAACAATCAATACAATATACTTTTTCTTATATAAATGATAAGGAGGTTGTGTATCCATGGCAAACGTAATTTTCTTATTTTTTTTTTAATGGAATTTCCTTCAAAACAGATGTCAGTAATCAGAAAACTGTAACTTATTAGAGCTGAGCTGCTTAAATTTCTTAAATAATAAATTCTCTTCCTGGCATTATCATTTACCACTAAATTATGTTTCATTTCTTTTCAAAGTTCATATAAAATATTATATAAATCCGTAGCTTTTAAATAATTCATTAAAATAACAAAATATTTATTGTAAAATCATTCCAACAACCTAGGACAACAACAAATGTTTACGAAACCACAAAAATCTTGAGAAGTAATTGTGAGCAGGATCTTTATTATTAACTTATTATTCTTGGAAAATTCAAGGAGATGTCACTGTGACTTGACAGCATGACAATTTCAATTTATAATTACCTAAACACAATATCTGTTTTCCCATCATATTTTCCCGCATTTTTAATATAAAATATTTATTACTGCATATTTTATAAATAGATATTAGGATTTTGGGAAATTGTAAAAAAATCCTACATTATTATTTATTTTGTAACAATCCGAAATTTTAAGTCTATGCTTTACATATTGAGTATTTCAAAAAAGGATTCCTGGATAATTATTCAAGCTTTAATGATAAAAAAAACTCAATGTAAATGTTTTGATAGAGGTTCATGTTCATTGATGTTTTTAATATAAATCAGTTTTTTAATGTCAACCACAAGTAAATTAGTTTCACTGCATCAACTTTAGGGGTCATAATATTTTTAAAGCTTTTTTGAACGATTCAAATAAAAATATAAATATTTATATGAAAATAAAAATTAAAAAAATTACATTGGTCATATGAACTATTTATGATCTGCTAGTATCATTTTTTTTTTTTTTGTCTTCAATTCTTCCCCCGCATCTGTCATGATTATGACAATTAGTAGATTTAACTTAATTAAAATCATGGAAGGTGCGTACAATTTAAGTCACAAGTAATTTAAATAATATAGACGTTTGCTATAATGCCTGACGTAATAGTCTGTGGTACAGATCCCTTTTTATCGAATTATTAACATCCGTCTGAAACTTCGTTAATAGTTTCATCTCATCGTAACCTACAACTATTTTATTTACGAAAACTCTTGGAATTGGGGTATTTTCAATTTGTAGGGGAGCAAACTTTGTATATTTAATAAGGTACTAACTAAAAACTCATAAATACTCATTTCCTTTCTACTTGGATCGAAAGATAATTTGATCTCAAAATCGTGAAAAAAGGTGACTTTCGAAAATACTGACCCGCTTGGCGTGACCTACACAACTAAATTTTAAAAATGACGAGATTATATAGGATAATGGCCTGATATTTTTGTAAGTCACCTTTATCTTACAATCCAAATAGAAAGCAAATTGATATTTACGAGTTTCTAGTAAGTAATTAAATAGACAAAGTTTGCCCCCCTCCAAATTGGAAACGCCCCAATCTCAAGAGTTTTCGTAAATAAAATAGTTATAGGTTACGATGAGATGAAACTATTTACGAATTTTCAGGTGGATGTTAATAATTCGATAAAAAGGGGTCTGTACCACGGACTATAATAGGTGCAGGTTGGGTGTTTTTAGGGCATGAGTTCTTTAAATCCAGCTCAAATTCCAACGATGAAATCCATCTATCGATTAAATCCATCTATCGATTAAATCGAGCCTTACGAGTTCCAGATAATACGGATGAATACCTACAATATAGAACTTGATAAAAAACAATTTCATAATTACATATTCACTTTAGGTGTTAAATATTTCGTAAATCATTATTTTAAAGTTTTTCTATACATAAAAAAACAATATATATAACAACAATATATATATATATATATATATATATATATATATATATATATATATATATATATATATATATATATATAAATATGTAATTTAACTTATATAATAACAAAACAAAATTTATTACAAGGATGAGCCCAGCGGATACATCGATATCCAATGAAACTCGTCCCATTCCTGTTTGAATTGATGAATAAAGCTACGAGTTAAATTCCACCGATGGTGTTAAGGAAAGATCAGGTAGATTTCTGATTCCATCGATGTGCTTAGAAACTTGCCCATTGTTCACCTGAGCCCGTTGCGATCGGCCTTCTGAGATGCCATTACGCAAAAGGCATCGACACTGATGAGAAAAAACAATGGTCAAGGCGCTGGCTATTACGAAAATTATTACTTCCTAATTACCTATTAGCACTAATCCTTTTTTTCCCACTCTTCTTTATTGTCGCATAAATCAGCGAACCAAAGGCTGCAACTGTCCTACTTATGGTAAGATCGTAAGATATTTTTCATGATGTCTGTTTGAGAAAAATACTGAATTGCTTCAGACGGAGAAGGAAAAATTTTGAGAATAAAAACAAATAAAGAATATTAAAAATACTTGATTACCAGAAACACGCAAAAAAGAAAAAAAAATAATAATGACCTGCAGTAGATATTTATAAGACAATGATCAAAGGTAAAAAAAAAATTAATGACAGGTAATAATATATAATAAATGCAAGGTAATATATAAAAATGGATGATAATAATAATGATGAAGGTTGAGATATCTTACTTTTGTAACTTTTATATTCCTAATTACACCTGATCCACCGATTGATTACACTTAATTAAGATATATCTGTTATATTGAAGATAGTTCTGTAACTATATTTTAATGACTACCTCATATGACCGCGTATAATTAGTAAATCTATAATTGATGACATGGTCTTATGACGTCATAGCAATATCAGTATTAATAATGGTAATAAAATTAATATTAATGAAAAAAATAGCTTAGGTACCATTGAAAAAATTTAATGGCTCCTATTTAAATCTCGAAGGTATCAAAGTATTGAAACATTATTTAAAATTAAGAATGATCATTCAAAATGTTACGAAAAAATCTATCAATAAAAAGGAAGATGGAAGCCCAAAGGAATCCAGTGCTTTCTTAAGAAATAGCTACAAATTGATCCAGAGAATGACTTGTAATTTTCTAAAAATCAGTGTTCCCACATTGGTCTGGATTCAGTCCCATTTACGCAGTAATTTTCGAGGAGCGATAAAATTTCGACTGAAGTAGTATCGTTGGATTCAAAAAGGGTTTTAAATATGATTGTTTCCACTTATTTTTAACTACAAAGCTATAAATGTTTTTGGTTATAGAGCCGGATGAAGAGGAATTATCTTCCTCCACTCATGTGGACAATATAAAAAATCCTAAAACAAATCCAATTTTATATTTTATGGTTCAATGCAGAGAGGAAACTATTATGCGTTATATTATACTAAACATAAAAATGAAATAAACATTTTTTTTTTTAAATTTAAGTTACTGCACATATAATACTGTAAGTATGAAACTATATATGGTTCACCATATATGTATGATTGAATTTTGTTTAACGATGTTTAATGTGGACTTGAAAATTCATTTTAATGCACTTTTCATTAATGATCTGAAGGTGATATATATATATCAAAATCCATTTAGTGGGTCAGCAGGTCGAACTGAATAAGTATGAATACGGAGGATTAAAATAGTTAAGTATATAAAGGTGTACTTAAAAGATTAAAAATGTATGTTACCTTTTCCATAGAAAAAATGAATTCATAAAATTGATAAAGCAATAATAAAACATTCGATTTTTGATAATTACTTCATGATATATTTTGTTATCATGAATCAGTAATAAGATAAGAGTCAAAATACTAAACATTACAGATTAATTTTAACGGAAAAATTACAACGGATATATTTTGTCTCTAAATATGTAGAAGTTGTATATACAACAGACTGGGTTAAACCTGTACATTTAATGAGCTATGATTAAAAAAAAGTACACCTTAAAAAAAAAACGAATAAATTTACACCATGGCCATGTGTAATATGATGTTAGCATACAATAAAAATTTGTATATATCTCATGAATAAAAAGATTTTTTTTTGAACATACAAACATTTTTTAAAAATTGTTTCTTAACAATTATTGATTATAAAACATAATCATATTATTTTTATTAAAATATACAAACAGAAAATATGCATTAGAAAGGACATATATATATAACATTACAAATCATACCAGACGCTATTCCGTCTGTTTTAAAAAACTATTCATAAGTTAATAGAAAATATTAGAAAAAAAAACCACTAAAAATAAAAATCTTTAATTAATAATCTTCAATTATAAGACATATAATACAGTATACAGTATTAATTTTTTTCAGATTAATTTTATTTGCTTATATATAAGTAGTTTGTCAGCAGGATTACTAACAGGACTACAGGAAATATATATATACAAGCAAATAAAATTAATCTGAAAAAAGAATTACTATATGCATTAAAAGTTATTTTTTTAGATTGGCATTAATGTCTATATAACTCTACAATTGTAGCACTATTATGTTTTTAGTTTCAAAATGGAAGTCTCAATTTATAGTACGATTCAAAAAGATAACTGTAGTGACAAATATCTTTCGCACGACAAAGGAGAAAAAAGTGAAATTAATCGCAACAGAAAATGAATTAAATTTTAAGCATGACATCCTCATAGATTAAGCAATATTTCAATAGATAATTGACCAACACAGTAACATAGTTTCACAGGGTTTAGCAGACAAGAAACAATTTTTAAAAATATGCAATACGGAGTTAGTAATGTTTTTGAATAGGATAAGTGTAATTTTCATCAGAATAGAACTGAAAGAAAAAGGTCAATAAAGAACTGTTTATGGAAAATAGTCGAATAATATCTAGTGAAATTAAGTCAAACGGGTCAAGATGGACGGGGCATGCAGTTCAGAGAAATCCATCAGGAAGCCTCAACGAAACAATGAATGCCTCATTAGTAGGCAAGAGACGATGGTAAAGGCCAAAAAGCAGATGGATAGATTGAATCAACTAAGATGAAATAGATCTGCGTGCAGACAACTGAAAAGAAATAGTAGAAGATCGGCAGAGATGGAGAATGCAGTAAATTATCTACAATGCCTTTAGAAAAAAAAAAAAATACTTACACACCTCAGTTTACATAAACAATGTTTTCTACTCGTCGTAATATTTAATGGCATAACCCTCATAAATTACCAGAGCATTTAAAAATACTACTATTAAAATCCACAGTTTTTCCAATAATCAACAATGATTTACCAAGTATCAAAAATCGTTATTCCTAATAATTATGTAATAAATCAAAATCCAATACACATGAAATAAGACAGCATTCGGAATACATATAAAAAATTCTAACTGAATTTCAGAAATTACAAAAAACATTACCAAGGGATCGGAAAATGGAGATACTTAAATAAGTCTAAAGAAGATTTTTTTAAGAGATCTTATAAAATGAAAACTTTATTCTATTCAAGTCGTGTGTGAGTACACATGGGATGTGATTAATCAATTTTATCACCAAAAATCTCATTCTTTTATTATAATAACTGACTGAGGGATAGGCGTGAATGTAATCAAATGTTACATTCATCATGTGTACAAAAATATTAGCTCTTTATTTTTGGTTGGTTTTAGTTCCGATTTCCTCTATCAGAGGAATTTTATACATGAAAAGAGAATTAAATATACATTTTTCGTAAAGAAACACCTTTTCCGTTGATAAATAATTCCTTTATTTTATTTTTGCCGACGTTTCAGGCTGCTGGCCCATATTCAAAAACAATTTATTTTACATACATACTAAGCTATGAATAACATGTAGCCATGATTTAAAAAAAAAAAAATTGTTCGACATAAAATAAAATTTAGCAAATAACAAGAGGCAATGCGACTGTGAAAAGTTATAATTTCCATCTCCTTCAAAAATGTATTCTCTGCTGAATAGAAATTTTTAAAATCCTAACAAAGTGTTACTCATGAATTAAAGAAGTTTTTATTTTTGATTACATATAATTGATAGCATTAGCCATCATAAATTGTCATTTAAGATCGGCCAAGTGCAGAAAAAGGTCGATTAAAAGAAAATAAGTAAATAATTTATTAACAGAAGAGGTAACTTCTATTAAAAATCTCAGGATCACTTAGAATTTACCCTCACCTAAAAATAAGTGGATAATATAAAATAAAATAAATGTTTAGGTTAACAAAAGAAATATATCTGAGAACCTAACTCAGGTATGTTGGAATACAATAATAAATTTTAATATATCAATTGCCCTCTATTGCGGCAGAATCTATTAATTTTCAAATAAAAATAATAATAAAATAAAAAAAATATATCAGTTTGGGTTTTTTCCTAAAAGAAGGAAAACCAAAGCGAATGAATTTATTCTTAGAACTAAACCATTTAATCACGTGATGAACGCTGACAGATTAGGTTGGGGAGGATTCTAAATCATGAAACCAAACTTCCGCGTATCCACTGAATGTCCAACCAAAAAGAAAACAAAAAACGGCGTATTCAAATCCAACTATTCAAATCTGAGATATCAAAGTAACAACTGTGGAACGCTTCCTCAAAACCGAAACACAAAGAGATCGTGACCATGAACCCAAAACTGCCGCGACCTCAAGACTATGTGATTCACCAGCTGACTCTCATGGATAAGAACTATCCAGGATCTGTCCATTATAACATTATTGTGGGGAGGAAAAAAAATAGTAGCAACCTTCTGTTTTACTCATGATCTTCCCCCTACCTCAGGCCGAAACGATGCTACGTCACTAGGGGAGGAACTATATATCCTTCGCTTCGACCACAAGAGTCATTGCGTCTTCGAACACCTGAGGAAGCATGAACCGTCTAATTGTGAGTACTAACAAATGGCAATATTGCTTTAGTTAGATTCAGCAATATTTCATTACCAATATAATAACAATAAAATAATTATTTTTCGTTTTTTAATTTAACTTTATTATATTTTTACATAATAAGATTAAGTAATAACTTCTTGATGATGACTTCTCAATTATACAAGTTTGAATTTGAAATAGAATATTTTTTGATAAAAAAAAATAATAAAATTTGATTTTCAATAATTACTTATGATATGATTGGCATCACATCAAAGATGGACAAATGTCATTTTTAAAAAGTCGAGAAAAAAAAAATTTTGTAACATAGCTTTAATTTAAATCAATTCTAATTATTCTATTGTATGATTCATCATTTTTATATAAAATTATCAGAAACAGTTTGAGTTTAACTTATAAAACAAAAATTGACTTTTTTTCCCACTTCTTAAAAATTGCAGATGCCCGTCCGTCTTTGTTATGAGACCATATAGATTTGTTCGAGATCATGATTACTAACTTAAAACCAAAAATGTTGTAACAAATATATTTATCAAGTTTATATACTGAGTATACATACTGGCAGAACCGCTTAGTGAGGGCTTTTGAGTTGAAGCTCCTCCCCCCTCAGCTTAAAATGGAAAAATAATTATTCTTTCATTGGTTTCTGTCTGTTTCTTTGAATGATCTGAGATAAATCCTTGAACAATCAAAAAGTATATCTTTCTTTTTAAATATGACCCATGTATTTAAGCCATTTAATGTTAAGACAAAAACATAAAAATTTATCATTACTATTCCTCTATGTTTTTATTTCGTTATTTTATTTTATTTCATTATTATTTTCCAAAATAAATAAATAATTTTTTTTCTGAATTTCCGAATTGAGTTGTATTAATTTTGGTCACAGCTAAGGAAAAAATATATAAATAAACGCAATTAAAAAAAATACAAGCATTTAAAATTAAATCTTGGATTTTCTACTCATTATGTATATATGGTGTCAGCAAATTTAATTACTTTATTTTTATATTTTTCTGTTCATACAACATTCCAATTTTAGTGTGATAAGAAAATCAGCAAATTTATTAAATACTAATAAATATTGCATCAGAACACAGGCGGATCTACGGGGGAGGCTTTCGGGCTGAAGCCCCCTCCCCCCCCAAAATGGTAAAATATTACCATTTTTTACAGTAAAAAAATATTAAAAACTATCTCTTAAATTATTCTTGTTCGGTTAATTACATTTAATAGGACTTCAAGGAACACTTAAAAACCATATCATATTGGTAGTTAATTTCTTTCTTTTTTTTCAAATTAATTATCGTTAAATGTATACGAAAAAAAAATCTTTCAGGCTGAAGCCTCCCCCAAAATTAAATCCTGGATCCGCTAGTGCATCAGAAGATGGATAAAATAAAATAGGTAGTTTGATGTACCTGGTATTATAAACATTTAACCAATAAATGTTCAATTCAATTAATTTATTTTAATGGTTATAATAGTTAAATATATATATTTTTATGTTAAATAATTGATCTGAGCCCATAAATATTACCTAATAAAACTACATCTTATAAGTTAAAAATTAAATCAAGTTTAAGTACGGAATGGAATAGATTACTATTTGTTATTAGATACAGCAAAAGTAGCTTTGAATTCTTTATTAGGAAAATAAATATTCATTTTCATAAGGTTGGCTTATTTAATTGGTGGTAACAAAATACCATCTTGAGATGTATAGCCACTATCGTTCCCATCACTACTTTTCTTTGTGTTGTGAGCAGCTTCTTAAATTAATACATTAATTCGACAGTGTTATATTGAGTAGAATAGAAGTAATAATTATTATTAATTTTTTTTAATAGCTTATATAATAAAGTCAAATTTATGGTCATGAATCATCTAATTGAAAAATCCAATGTTTATTAATATAAAGTCAAAATGTTGAAGGAAGTTTATCTACCGTTCTACATATCATGGGTGATAAATATTCAGGACACAGTCATTATAAAGTTATTTATTGGTGCCGGCGTTTTCAGTGCTTGAATACCTTCAGTGCTTGAATACCTTCAGTGCTTGAATACCTTCAGTGCTTGAATACCTTCAGTGCTCTAAATACGCCCAGATGATGACCCACACGTTTGGGTTGAAACGTCGGCACCAATAAAAAGCTTTATAATGACTGCCTCCTGAATATTTATCACCCATGATAAAATCAAATATTTTTTGTAGGTATAACTATTCAAAAATATAGATACTTTTATCTTGCAAATTCCATGTACATAACATTTATTTCTATAGTCGGTTTACTAAAACGAAAATTTAAAAAAAAAATAAGTGCACTACCTAAATCCAAAAGAACAGTAGATATCACAGAGGATAAATTATAAAACTTCAAGGACTGACATCATTAACCTCTCATTTTGGTGCTGTCAAAATTATTTACTCATTAGCTCTCTGATGGACTTTGATGACTGAATATAAGAAAAAATACTATAAATAAAACGACATTAAATATTAAAATATTGATACTGAAAGTTAATTGAACAAAAATCAGGAAAATAAAGTAAATTAATTTATTCAACAAAAGGCGATTAGGTGGGCCTTGTTTTTATTTGCTGAAGTACTACTAATAATATATATATCTTGATAAACGTATGGACGAACTTAAACGCTGAAACAATCCATGATAAATTTGCCTTTAAAAAAGCTACCAAAATAATGAAAGAATTTTTTATACAGTATATCTATCTGTCAGTATATCCACATTTGATCAATTACGCTGACTTATGTTTTTCTATCGCAAAAGTTTCAGCCACCTAGGCTATTTTCAATGTCGGAAAAAAACTCCTTTTATAAAATTAGCCCAAATATTTTTTATTTTTAGATTTTTAAATAAAAAAGTAAGACAGATGGATTAAATGTGGAACTTTATTATTCGAAATAAGGTCTTAATCAACTATGTTGAAATTATCCTAATAAGGATTATACTAGTATGTATACCTATCGTACAAGTATGTATAGTTATAAAAAATTATCCTCTAATCATGATAAGACAATTAATAATTAGTATGATTTTTCTTTTTATTTATATGGCATATTTTTATATAAATAAAAACAAAACCTACCTCTATTTCTAGTAACTAAATAACAGTTTTATTTATATTTTAAGTGCGTCATGCTTCACTCCATTCGATCAAAAAAATAAATAAGTAAGAAGCAACATTTTATACCTAAATTTGGAAGAATTGTGAGTTTATTGCAAAAAAAGCAATAAGTGGGATTTTATAACATTCATCAATCTATCCTATGATGAATTTTAACTTTTGAAATAAGTGCACCACAGCATTTATTGTAACTATACTTAATAAGTAAAAGATTCTCTTCATAAATGATTTATTGTAATAAATAAGATCGAAATTTAAATGCTATATATAAAAGTAGAGCTCCATCGAAAAAGTATTTAGTGACTTTTTGTGATAATCCAACGATATTTTGAATGGGCATATAATATTCTACAAGTCACTATATTTAATATCCATTTGACAATGATATTGTTTTGTTCTAGATATCTGCTTTTGCGATTTCCGCAGTGGCCCTAGCGATGGCTAATCCAATCGCTGACCCAGAACCAGGGGGTTACGGTGGATATTCAGGAGGACCAGTTGGATATGGCAAAGGCAGCGGCGGCTGGGGAGGAAGCCAAGGAGGCTGGGGTGGAAACTCAGGTGGACCTGTTGGATTTGGCAAAGGCAGCGGCGGCTGGGGAGGTGGCCAGGGAGGATGGGGCAGTGGCGGACATGGAGGATGGGGAGGCGGAGGACAAGGAGGATGGGGAGGTGGTGGACAGGGAGGATGGGGAGGTGGCAAGGGGAGCTGGGGAGGCGGTGGTGGACATAGTGGCTTTGGAGGACAAGGTGGATACGGAGGACAAGGAGGACATGGTGGATACGGAGGAGGTGGATATGGTGGATATGGAGGAGGTCACGGCGGATTCGGAGGCGGTCACGGAGGATATGGTGGAAAAAAATGGTAATAAATGAGAATTATTACAACAGTTCTAACTGATTTGAGGAAAAAAAAACTTTATTTTTTGTAAAATCATTGCTATGTTCCAATCAATGCAAATTGATTATTTTGATGTATAATGTTTATACCTTTATCTGTGATGTAAAATTTTCATTCCTATTAAATATTGTATAATAACATAATTGTGTTTTCAATTAGCTATACCTTACCGATGAATGGAAGTCCTTTGAAAAATTAAAAAGTATTATTCAGAAATTAAATACTTTTGGTGAATTATTCAAAATAAGGAGAATGCATTACAATCATAATAAACTCTCCATGATTTGGTGAACATTTTCTTCGTGGTTCGCATTTGTCTATAAATGTTATTTAAATGCATAATATTTTCCCCTTTACTCTAGATGGCACAATGCGGTCTTTGAACTTTTAATCTTGCACAACGCCATAATTAAACATGTTAATGCTCTTTAAATCTTAAAAATAATGTCACTACACAACTGGATTTGTTATTGTAAACGCTATGCTCCCCACGGCACACCACTTCTAGAATCCGAATATTTCAAGTTAATTCAAATATTTTAAATTTGAATAATGCTGGCCCAAATTCAGAAAATTATTGTATTATATTTCTTCGTTTATTTTCTCGACAACACTGTTATTGTTGTTTTTTTTCAATTATTTATAATTATTAAAGTGATTTTTAGAACAGCCGTACTCAAGAGGTTTCAGAACCAGAGATCATGAGATTAATAATAAAAACAATTTAAGAACAATTTAACAATAAGAAAAATATGTGAAAGAAAGATTTTGCTGATCTCCAGTAATAATTCCATAACTCAAAAATCATAATTTATTTTAGTTAATAATACAAAGACAATTTCAATGTCTACTTTCAACTGGTAGAGTGTCATTCCTTATCTTCCAAGACAAATCATTCCTATATTTTCATTTTGTGCTATATTATGGTTGGAATTTTATGTTTGTATATTAATTAATAGTAACGACTGTATTCATACAAATTTTTATTTTGCATTATATTTTGACTGAAATTTTATTTTTATTTCTTTATTGAGTTCCACTGTCGTGCTCATACAATTCCAGAACTTAAATGTAAAAATATAAAGCATCATACTAACGTATGAAGGAACTATCCATTTATTAAACTTCCATTAATCGAATTAAATCAATAAATATTTGAAACTTCACATGGAAATGAAAAATTGTGAATAATGATTTATGACGCATAAAATGAGTGGTTAATGGCTATGATTAATTATTAAAATTTTATTATATTTTATGAATGTAAAAAATACTCAAAATAACATAAGTTCTTATCAAGATTAAGAGTTAGTTAGGATCTCAATCCAGCCTTGATTAAAATCCTCACATGATATCAACATTGAAATGTCTGAAGTTGACTTATTAAAAATTTTATGCATATCCTATATACATTTTATTTCTTTTAAACGAAACAAATTAATCAATGCAGCCAGATAAATGATGTGTATAATGCCCGTTTGGCATGCGCATATTTGATAGAAAAGATAAACAATTTATTTTATAAACTATCATGTCACATGTCTGTTTCCAACGTATAGCTCGCAAAACCCCTCAAAAAAGTAAAATAATGCACTATATTAAAACTATTTCTAATTTTTTACAAAAATCTAACTCTTATCACATTAAATAATAAATATTATTATAGATCTATCATCATGAATTTCAAATATATTTCATAAAGAGTTGTGAATTTTGATTAATGACGTTGTAGAAAATAGGTGATTAATTAACTGTGAATAAATAAAATAATTAAATTTTCTTTCTACATCCGGAGGATTTCTGTTATTGAATTGCCATCAAAATACACTATACTTTTATGTATATTTTCTTATATGAACGTAATTTAATTTAATTTAAATTAAAAAACCATCATCTTTAATTTAAATTTTATAAATGCTAAACAAGATTAGTAGTCTATCAAGAACTTAATCCAGTTCTGATTATGATATCAATATTGAAATGTCCGAGATTGATTCATTAAAAGATTTGGGCAAACGACCTTGAAGATTGCATCATAATGACATGGTTGACATTATAAGCTAAAATCAAGAAATGTCAATAATAATATTGACTGACAAACATACACGAACCAAGGAGATATCCCATCAAGGAGACTGTAAGTTATGACCTTGACACATATGACCAAGGTAACGTAATAAATGACTTATATCAGGATTGAGAACGTCCTGCAAAAAATCCTGCACCATATTTAACCTAAATTAGAGAGATCAGTAAAATTAGAAATCATGTAAGGACAGAATCGTTATAGAAATGTTATTCAAAATAATGGAGCAGGCTGGAGTGAAAGGAATATATCAAATCCAATCCCATAGCTATGGTAATCTGGTAGTACTATTTTAATCCATATCGTATTGTACCTTGAGTTTTGTCCGTAATTTTTATTGCTTAAGTAATCTGTTGTGCACGAGAGATTTCGAATAATTTAACAATAGTTCTCTCCGGTAACATGTACCAAAGAATAAAATCTATTTTTTTGCAATGAATGTTTTCCAATTGGAATTTTGATTGATGTCCGTTATCTTTATGACCAATATCTAATGTTATTTTATTGATTGTCCTAAAGATTAATCAGTATGCTGTGTGTCCAGCAACCCAATATAATTGGGCAGCAAGCTTTTATACTATATATGAAAATAATGTTTCCCTTTCTTTTTTTAATTTTCTTTTTTTTTTGGCGTGGAGTGCAGCAATCCTGTACAAAATGTAAAATACGATTCTGAATGAACCTCTTGTTTTAAAGAAATATAGTGTAGAAATACATCTTCAAACTCAAGTATTCAAGTAGAATTCTCTAGTAGAGAAACGGGTGGAGTTTGAATGGGTTAGTGAAGAAGCTTTACAAGTGGGGTTGGATAAGGAATTCCAAAACGATATAGCGTGAATAACGAAAGGTTCTTCAAAGCAAGATGTTATGTGAGAGGGAATATAAAAATTGAAAATATGAGATCTCGTATTTACGGTATGAATGGAAGTAGGTAAAGTGATGACATCAAAAATATATGAAGGATTTTCGTTCTCAGGGGTAAGAATAGAAATGTATTAAGAAAGTAATGTCTTCAGAAACTAAGATACGGAATACCAATGGAAGATGGAAGATCTAATAACACCAAAAATAAATCTTTAATAAACCAAAAGATATATATATATATATTCATCTTCCAGTTTCATCTCGTGCAGGCCAGATCACTTTAGCATTAAAAATTACGAATAAAACTCAAAGAAAATACGATATGCATTATAATGTAGAACAGCCGACTAATTTCCTTCAATATTTTTTTTTTAAATATGTATAAGGATAATTATTTTGAAGGAAAAATAATTAATAATCTATCACACAGGATATTTATTTCATTTCAGAGATTTTTATAACGAACAGAAGAACAATGAAAAAATATTTTTCATGTTATATTTTCATTTTATTTTTTTGGGCGTGAGGAAATAGTAGGTACTCATATAAACCGATGATAGCCACGTTTTTCTCTATTTTTTTATGTTATTTTCATGTTATTTTTTCAACCTCTTGTTAGAGCGCTCGTACGCAGTCATCGAACCCGATTAAGTATGGACTATTATATGAGAAAGTCACGCTCGACCAATCCTCATCAGGATCATGGATCTGGGATCTCATCCTTGAAGAATGCTTTTTGTAACTTATGCCCCGGGCCGAGTTGGTTTGAAATATAAAAAACTTAGCACCTATTAATTTATTCAAAGGTTTTCCCCGTCGTTCCCTATTCAGCGGTGGTCAGAGCTACGTCAGCCCGCCTATATAAACATATCAACAGCATCTAATTGGACACAGCGTAACCTGTACCGGCGATGGGAGGAGCGGGACGGATAAACGTGAGTAATCGAAAGTAACAAATACACATAATTATCTCATTAATCATTTACTGTGTCAATGTATCAACTATGTTTTCTACAGTTTTATTATTTTATCACAATTCCGTTTTTAGAAAATCTATTTTTTTTTTTTTTTTTTGTTTTTTGTGCAATAATGCAAAGACCTTAAGCATGTTTCTAAGTTGAGTAATTTTAATAAATATTTACAAAAATGAAAATGATATAATAAAGTTTGGATAATTATTTATGTGACAAATTTAAGAATAATAAAAGGATACTTCTTGGTACAGGGATGGTGGGACAGAGTCCCGAAACATTTTTTTTTTTCAAAACCCCTCCCTTTTTTCTTTGTGAGTGTGTATTAAATATTGTCCATTTTCCTCATTTTTTTCTGCAGTGGTACTGCATTTTGAGGTGGTTTTTGATTTGTATTGTGAAACGGAGTTTTCTTTATCTTGATTCCTTCATTTTTTTTTTAAAGTAAAGAAACAAGATAAAGAAAACATCATTTAGCAATAAAAATCGTAAACATTCAGTATTAAGTATAAATAAAATATTAATAATGAGAAGAAAATAATTTTTAAAATAGAAAGTATTTTTTAATTTTATATTATGCGACAGATTGTACTATATCTCAATAAAGAAATCTCCTAATAACAAAAAAATTATATTAAAATCATAAAAAGAAAAAGAAAAGAAAATACTCGAACTTTATTGCATTTTTTTAAATTAAAGAATTAAGTTTAATAACAAATGGAGGTTGCGGATGTGTTGTCATATAGTGGACCCATGTCCGGAGGATTGTTATCAATGCGTCCTATATATAGTAGCCGAAAATATATATCTGTGTAATTTTATATATATTTTTGTTTTTAAAGATTTCTATGCTACAATATATCAATTGATTTATCTTTTTATAATTTGTTTTTTAAGAAACAAATTGCTGATTGTCTTAAATTAAACCAAATGAGTAATATATTTCTAAAACTAGTAGACTCTTTTACTAAAGCAGCTAATATTTTAGTGATAAAAAATCAATTTACATTTGTATTTAGTGACGTTTAAACTTCTTAGATACGAATTTTTATTGGAATTAAGAAATAAAAATTTTTAATATTCATTTTATGGAAGAATTATTTTATGGAGTCCACTAAACTATTTATTACTCTTTATTTTCTCCAAATTCAACGTTACTAAAACCGTTATAAAGCTTAAATATTGCTCTTCCAAACCATATCAACTATTTTTAGATTTTACTAATAATATAAAATAAAGTTAATAGAAACAATAGGGTGATTCTATGGTGACTTATGAATAGATGGGTGCCATTATGTTGAAGTTCTCACATTTTACTAGTAGCAAGATCTCTCTGAATAAACTTTGACAAAAGTTTTGAGAATGTATTTATGCACTAAACGTTTACAATTTTCGGTTGCTATGAAAATTCGTACTTAATGTTTTTTTGGAGATGCGAAGTACAAATCACAACTTTCTTAAAAGAAATATTGAATCCACTTTGCTCCTTTGATCGGTACAAATTGTTTCAATATTGCACTCATACTATACGGAATACGCTCTCCCTTATCCGTATCAATACAAGTAGCATTGCCAGTAATAGTAATCAAGTGGAGTTTGGCATTGGTGATATTGAAAATCTAATTGTATTTCCATTACTAATTTAACTTTTACGTTTACTTAAGTTTTAACAGAAAATTTAAAACATTTCATTCTAACATTTAAACAGATTTATTTATCTTAAATGAAAAGAAGATTTATCCTATGATTTTTCGAGTGGTTAATTAAACAGTTTTTCCGTCATAATGATTTATTATTTTTTTATTTACCACCTTTAATATTAAGGATAATTAATATGAAATAGGAATCTATTTATTTTATAATTGAAAAAAAATCATATATAAGGAATCGAGTCCGCTCCTTAATGGTGTTAACAATAAAAATATATACATTACAGTTTGCATAGTTATTTATTATACTTTACGGTATTAACTTATAGCATTTTGTTTATTAAATTCTATAATATTTTCTATGTACAGGGTTTTCGGAAGCATCATTTATTATTGACATTTAAAGATATAATATATGCGTATTTAATATTTATTAAATAGATCTCCTCTCAACTTACAAAATAAGCGACTAATCTACACCGCCATACTACGACCTATTCGGACATCTGGAGCAAAACTATGGGGCTCCGCAAAACACAATACAAAATACAAACACAAAAACAAAATACAAACTGTCCAAACTCCAAAATACTTTGAAAAGTCGTAAATGCACCCTGGCATATTTCACACAGCGACATGAACATACCTACAGTAAAAATCTACATACACAACAAATACACCACATTCCACACTTCAACTATCAATCGCAGAAATCCACTTTTCCAATCTCTTTCTCCCACCCTGTCACCAGGGGAGCCTAAAAAGGCAGTGGGCTCGGAATCTGCTCACAATATAAACAAGTTTTTAAGAAAAAGAAGTCTAAAATAGTAAGGACAGCACATTTGCTGAATTTGTCCAAAAACACAGTTGCCAATATATTAGAAAACGGAATTAATAAATAATATTTATTGTTATTCTAACAACAATGTTCTCAAAATATCTACAGGTTTCCATAGAACTTACAATTTAGAAATCTAAATCTTTTCACCTAAAATCTTAAATCTGTTCTTAACTTGATGTTAACTAGAGATACGTAAGTTTTTTAAACAATTTATAACCAACAACATTTAAATCCAAAATTATTATTGTTTGTTCTACGGTTTTAAGAATAATGCTGTAAAATACCGAATTATCAAAAACACCATCATAAAATTGTCTTTGCATTTTTTTTTTTTTAATGATTCATAATGAATACCAATGCAATCGCTGCAAATTTACTACCGTATGTAAATGTTAGCTACTAAATTTACTTAATCTATGATTCATTAAATCATGTAAAAACATTTTACATATTCTTTTCAGTAATTTATGACCGAAACCATCGCAGTAGATGTTTTCCTGCTTAGGTCAGGACTAAATCCGTTTGTGACGTATAACTCAAGTATTCATACTTAAACTGTCAACAAAATAATATAAGTACTATTTACCGGAACAATAAAATACTCATAAGGAATGAACTTAAAATGTTACACGGTCATTATACATTATAATTTATTAAATATTGCACATGATAAGTAAATTCAGTGTTTTGATAATTGTATATTTGTTACAGTCAAAACATATATTCAAGTTCATAATATTATCTAAGTATACTTACATTTTTTACTACATCACGTAAACTCTGAATATCACTAACCTGAAACAAAAAATGTATTGCTTATTTGTTTATTATTATTTATGAAATTTACAACTTTAAAAATTAATATACATGGAACAAATGTGATACAAAGAAATACATGACATGACAAGGCTTGTAGAGAATCTATTCATTGGTATGGCTTTAATATCATTTCTTAGGTACTTCTGAATTGTTATTATATATAGATATAAAATGAATTATAATTCATTTAATAATATTGGCATATTTTTAAATTGATAGGTATATATTAATTTAGAAATTCGAGCGAAGAAAAGTTTTTTTTTTTTAATAATTATAATATTTTATTCTTTGACTTTTAAGACCTATTGGAACCAAATATATAATATTTTTTTAAAAGTAAAATCACCCAAATATTTATATAGTTGAAATCAGTGACCCAGTGGCTTTGAACTCTTGTTAGTCTGAACCAAAACCGTGTAACTATCGACCAATATGCAGTTCCACATACACAGTACGCACTAAAAAAGTAGACGATATGTTTATTAATTGATTGTATGCTAGAAAACGGTTGACGGATTTGATTTTAAGGAGTAGAATGGTATTAAGAATTGTGTTCCCCAAAAATACCTTGATAATGTTCAAATTCCACCAACAGATGGATTACATAAACTGATGTGGACTTTCGGTTTACAGATACTGAACAGATAGAAAGAATCATGTGTAGAAACTTAAAATGTTCCGATCAAAATCTAGCAAGACTGACAGCTAAATTTCCACAGTACGTTGCTAATATTACGTTGCATACCAGCTTTAGCATACCAACGATAGGTTATACGTTTAAACTAACTCACTCTGTAAAGGCAAAGGACACAATCCGTTCTGCTTGAGATTGTGAATACTAGAAAAAAGAACTGGACGAGGATTCTACTTGTCTAACTGTATTATGAAATATCAAGATAAGAAGAGGTACTGATGGTTATTTCTCTCTCTCTATATATCCCATCATTTCACATTATTCCATATTAAGCTAGAATATACATTGGTTGTCTATATTTTTGACTAAATTGAATGAAGAAGGTTAAAAAAAAAATCTACAACAAAATGCCTTTTATATTGCATTATATACAATTATATTGTTTATATACACAATAAATAAATATTCTGTTTGATTCAAAGAGGACACTAATGTATGCAAAATGTCTTGTACTTCTTAGGTAATTGTGTCGGCAATATTAATTGGAAATAACAAAAAATATTTTTTAAGGGCATATTTATAAATAGGTAAATATATCATGAATTTAATTTCGAGTTATATAATATAATATTGTCTCATTAATTATTTAAACATTTCCTGTCATTGAGTAATATCGGAGATGCCACCACGCTTATTTATTCTATTTAACTTGCATGCTACATGTAATGATGTAATTAGATATAGAGGTTATGAAATAATAAAATTGACATGGTGGAACATAGGATGATCCTCCCATTAAAAGTATTGAAAAGATAGGAAAATAATTTGAAGTAAAAATAAATTAAAATTTAAAAAAAATAAGCATAAATTAATGAAACTATGTAGTATGTAAACTAAAATTTATTGAGAAAATAGGATAATTCGACCATCTAGTTAAGCTACAACCTAGAAGTGGATACGGTATTTAACTATTTTATTACAGCACAAATGTTACTTTTATTAAAATATTCGTTTATATTCA